ATAATAAACTAAGACATAAACTCCCACATCCTGAATCTTGCCTCCCAGAGACAGCTTCTGTTACTAGTTTGGTATCTGTCTGGCCAGATACTTCTCGGTGCCTGTGTGTAGGGTGTGTATATGTGCGTGTGCGACACGTATGTCTAGTTGTCTTTCTGTTAACAAAAATACCTGCTTTGCATTTTGTCCTGTAACTTTATTTTCAAGTTAATATTATATTGTGGACACGATTCCACTTCACTGTATAAAGATAATACCTTTTTTATATTATTCCAATATGTGGCTATTATATAAGTTGTAACTGTTTTCTAGTTTTTATTTTGTCAACAAATATGGGCAACTTTGCTCACTTGTGTGATTATTTCTGTAGGGTAGATTTCTTAAAAATGAAACTGCCAATTCAAAAAGTACACATTTCCTAAAATGCTGAGCAAATTATACCCCGCCAACAGCTTATGAGAGTCCATTATCACCCCGCCCAAGAGAGTACCACCACAGTTCATGCTGACCAACTTGATGCATGAGTAAATCATGCTGCCTTTGATGTTTTAATGAGTAATTCTGTCATTGTTAGTATAGTTGGGTATCTTTATGTGTATTTTCTATCTTCCCTACTGGAACGTAAGCGAAATGCAGCAGGGACCAGGGTGGCTGTGTTGCAGAGCTCCTGGGGTGTGTTCCCACGGACCACAGTATGGCCGGTGCCCCCACGCTGTGCAGCAGAGAGTCCTGGCCAGGCCCTGTCTTTCTTGTCCACTACTTATGCACAGCATCTAGAACCATCTGGACACATTGGGAGAGTCCCTAAATGTTCAGAAGATGAGTGTTTAGTAGCAACTCATTCGTCCATTTTTCAGTGGTTCTTGCAGAATTTGAGGCCATTCTCGAGGCCGACCTGGGTCCCCAGAGTTCTGAAACTTTCCAGAACCTGCTGGGGGCCTCGGTTGCCCTGGGCCACGGTGAGCCCCCTTGACACCAGGTCTCCTCTCATGGAGCAGGATGTCTTGAATTACTTTGTTAGTGATTTTCCCTGCTCTACTTGCTCTATCCCCTTCTGGCATTTTTACTAATTTGATGTTGGACCTTTTCACTCCCATTTTTCAAAATTCTCAATTTTTTCTTCAAATCTCTTCTTTCAACACTTTTTCTTTTGTCCTTGTGGCTTCATAGTGTTTAAAGCTTCCTTTACTGTCCTCTCAGGATTTCAGGAAGGAGCAGCTAGGAGCACGTGCACTATCTCTGTGCTCTGTCCATGTGCCTGCTGCCTCGGTCACGTTCTGAGCATCCTGCTCGCTCAGTCTCTCGCTTCCTCGCTGGCAGCTGGGCGTGGACTCAGGCCCATAAAGCAGTGTTGCTTCCAGATAAACTGACCTCTGTGTGCATACCAGGTGCACTTCTGTTCCCTCTGTCCACCCGACTGTGAACAGTTAAAACGTTCCGACACTGGGAGCTGTTATGCTGTGCTGGGTCTCGGGGAGAACTGAAGCATTCATCACGTCAGTGTCCAGATGGTGGGGTCACTGAGAGGCCTGCTTCTCCATGGAGGTCCTTCCTGCCCACCGAGAGGCAGGTGCTGGGGATGAGGTAGAAGTTGAAGGTTGAGATAGAATGGTTTTGTCTGCCTTAGTCTGTCATTGACCTGATTGCCTTTAAGGAGAAACAGCCTGCCTCCACGTGTTACCCGGAGGGCAGGCACTGCGATCATGGACACAGCACCCTCCATATTTCCTGTTTCGTTAGCCCTCGCTTGCTCTGAGCCACTCTTCTAAGACGCCTCTTTTCTTATGCTCTGGTCTGTCAGTTTACCTGCGTCCCTGTTAGAAGGGGCAAAACACAGTTCTGTAGTCACTCCATGTGGCCACGTCGGGAGCTGACCTGCGTTTTGAGGACCTCAGGTGCAGTCAGAGCCGCTCCGTGGAGCCTTGTGGCTATGTGGCCCCACACGGGGCCAGTGAGATCTTGCAGGCCCGCCCTCCTTGCAGGCAGGTGGCCACTCGCCTGCATCCTGAGCTTTGGCTGCCCTGCAGAGCTGTTTGGTTTACAGGCATTTTGCAAGTTTCAAGAAATGTGCTTGTAAATAGGGAGACTGTAGGTCCCTGTGTCTTCTTTGTGGAGTCTGTATAGCTCATTTCAGCCTGCTCGATCCCCGGACCTGAGGCAGCCAGAGAAGGGGCCTTCGCCAGAGGAAAGGGAGGGGCTGTAGGGAGGTGCGACCTCTGCTGCAGCTCACTGCCCAGCTCAGCCCTAAAACTAGACAAGGGGCCAACTGAGGGCTCCCCGGAAAGAGGCTGCCTCCCTTCCCTCCTGGTCCACGCGCCTGCTGCTCAGCTCCCCTCCCCAGCCCTGCCCGGGACATTCCGTAGGGGAGTCGGTTCTGAAGAGCCCAGAGGGACAGGGAGGGCCCTGGCTTCACACATCCCCCGGCAGTGCCAGCGTGGAGCCGCCCTGTCCGCTCAAACCATCATGCAGGCAGGGCCTTCCCGCTTGGTTTAATGCTCTGTTGTCCTTGTCTTGAGTGAAATTGTTGACATCTGGGACGCCAGCTCCTTGTGTCCACTTTGCCCAGGCCCTGCTCATGATGGGGGCCCAGCAGGTGGGGCCGGCAGGGGCAGGGTGGGGTGGGTCCTGCCTTGGGTCCTCCTCTGCAAGATGAGCACTGGTGAGGTCACCTGGAATCAGGGAGGCTGCGCAGATCCGTCAGTTTCATGTTCAAGTGTAGTGGGTCTGAGGGAGACCAGGAAAAAGATAACAGAATAACTTCAGGTAGTGGAATGGCTGCTGTGAGGAAAAGGAGGCGCTGCGGCCGTGGGCGGGGGGGTGTCGGGAAGCCTGGGGAGGGCTGCTGACTGAGGCCCGAGGACAAGTAGCAGCAGCTGGGGGAGGTGGGCGGGCAGGGTCAGGAGGGGAGGGGCCAGGTGGGAAGAGGCGTGGGGCATGTCCGGTACAGTCTGTAAGTCACACCAGGAGTCTGGGGTCCTCAGGCTGGGGGACATGGGAGGATGGACAAGGGGCAGGATCTGTCTGTGCCGTCCCTCAGCCCAGTGCTTTGAATGGGGGATGACCTGCAGGGCCTGCAGGGGGTCGGGGCCTGGTCCCGGTAGCACGGCTGGTCCGTAGCTGGCCCAGGGTGACTGCGTCAGGACCTTCCCACCCACACACCATCTCCTGATGCCACACGGGTCCCGCTCCGCCACGTCGGGGTGGCCACCGAGAGGGGCCCTCCCACCGGGCTCGGGGGCCCACGAGCTCCCTGCATGGGGACTGCCTGCCCTGGATCTCCGAAGCGGCTTCTCCGCGCAGCCCCCAGCTCCTGTCCCGAGGCGGACAGACGCCTGCTGAAACCGCAGGTCGTTTCAGCTGAGATCCTGGTGGTGGGAGAAGTATTGTTTTCTTGCCTATTAACCAGATGGGGTTTTGGCTTTTTTTTCTCTTTAAATAATGATAAGTTAGAAACTCAATGTGAAAATAGAAATGAATGAAATGTGAGTCTACAATGGTCTCAAAATAAGTGTCAACTAAATGGAAGTGGCTCCTCTAGCCATGAAGGCTGTTTGTAGTTGGATCCTTTTCGTCTCTCGTCATGGGAGTCCTATAGTGAGCGGGCCCGTGCTTTATACCCCAGTGCGGCTAGCGGCAAGAGCATCTCTCCCTGTACCTGTTCCCTCAGAGCAGGCTGAGCGTCTTGAGAAGTCTGGCGCCGTCTTAAAGCACGTCTTTGATTTCTCTGGGAAGCTTCATTGTGGTGGCTTGCCTCGCCCCCTCCTTCCAGGACCCACAGAGCAGCTGCTCTTTGCCCCTGGCCTCTCTCAGGGTCACCTGGGGTCCCGGGACTTGTCAGCCCTGCTGCTGTGCTCCCCAGAGGTGGACTCACAGTGGCCGTGAGCTGCATGCATGGGCTGATGTTTATAACCCAGACCATCTTAGTTCTGATTCCAGGGGGAAATTCACTTGTATTGCTTGTTGCTCTGGAGAGCAGTGAACTTCCTGTTCCAGAAAGATTAAAAACAGCAGGGTTGCTGACTAAAAACAAAAAAAGAGGTAAAAATTCTCTAATTTGCAAATCTACAAGTAGTAGAAGCTTGAAAGTAGTCAAGTAAAACGTCAGAACTCAGATGTCTCACCGTGTGGCCTCACCACCATTCTGGCCTCATGGAGTTGGAGGTTCCTGTGCCGGGGATCCAGATGGAGCGTGCCCCAGGTGTTGTGAGGCACCCCTCTTCCCGAGGCAGCCTCACACGGAGCACCCCAGCTCCCCAGAGTCCTCCTGCCCCAGAGGTTGACTGACTGGTCTGGGGTGGCCTGAGCTCCTGGTACAGAGGCTGTGGAAGTGCAGTGGGCTTCGGGTCGCAGGTTTGCAGATGGCTCTGGCCACACAGCAGAGCTGTTAACAGAACCAAACCACCCGAAACACTGTGCCCTGGGGTCAGGGGAGTCTGAGGGAGACAGAGGCTGCCTGTGCTCAGGTGTGGAGAGCTGGCGTCCCTCATCCTCTCTGCGGGGCAGAGTTGGCCTCAGCGCCCTCATGGTGCCAATCACAGGGGCTGGGAGCTTGAGCGGGCAGCAGCTTCTGGGCTGTTACCCGTGGGAGGAGTTTTGATATGCAGGTGGACAGGAAAGTGTGTGATGTAGAAGTCGTAATAACATTCATGGGCCAAACTGAAACGACCACTGACGGTCCGTTTTCCTCCAGCTACTGGTAAAACGCAGTGACAACGTCGTTTGTGGGATTGCCCAACACACACACATATATATATAGCCCCGTGTCTGGAGAGATTTAGCCAAAGGCATCAGGCATGTTTTGTTCCTTATTTGGGACTAAAACATTCTGCACCCAGGCCTCAGGAACTCGGCCTTCGCTCTGCCCTGGAACAACATGTTGGTGTTAAGCGAATATTTACCCAATGTGCTATTTTTAAACCACCAATGAGATAAACGCCAATGAGATAACCTTGACCCTGGTTGTGTCTGCCTGGCTGTAATGACATCTCCTTTTCGTGCAGCTTCTGAACCCAATCTGAAATTACGGTCCAGGCTAAAGCAGAAAGTGGCTGAAAGACGGAGCAGCCCCCTGTTACGCAGGAAAGATGGGCCAGTGGTCACCGCTCTGAAAAAGCGCCCACTGGATGTCGCAGGTACGTTAGACGGGTAGTTATGACCCCACTGCCTGCCCACCCGCTGCGTTCCCCAGAGGCCCTCCTGCTGTGGTCCTTTCCTTCAGTGCCTCTGAAACCTGCGTCTCCGCGTGGCCCCCTGGGCCCCAGGTGTTCTCGTTCCCCTGGTTCCAGCAGCACAGGTCGCTGAGAACCACAGTGGGCGCCCTAGCAGGGGCGTCTCAAGGAACATCCCTGCACAGCCTGTCTCTGCTCCCAGCATCAGTCAATAAAGCTGGCTTTGCCTGGGCCCAGGCATGGCGAGAGCCGTCCGGTCTGACGTTGCACGAGATGTTTACAGGAATTGTAAGTTGAGGTTTCTCCGAAGGTGGGGTTTTTAACCGATCCTGCCTATTAGTGGTGAATCACATGTTTCTGCCTTGCTCCACTGCCCATTAAACAGCATCTGAACCACTGGAGAGCGTTAAAGCCTTCCTGGCAAGAGTCCGACAGGTGGGCAGACGGAAAGCAGGGAGCTCACTCCTCTCAGCTCTTAGCAAGCACGTTGCTCTCGGCCCCCATCTAGTGGTCGACATGCAGAAGTACACCCGCCAGGCAGAGCGGTGTCCTGAGGACCCCATTCCTGAGAGGCACCCTCCTTCCCAAGGGCATATCCCCTTCCTGAGGATGCACGCCACTTCCCAAGGTGTACCCCACCTCGAGGTGCACGCTGCCCTTGGACACACCCCCACCCCGAGGGTATACCTCACTTCCATAGAGCACACCTCCTGTTTTGAGGGCACACCCCACTTCCCGGGGTGCCTCCCATGCATCAAGGGTATACCCCAATCCAGAGGGTGCACCGCCATCCTAAGGGTGCATCCCACTTCCAGAGGCACACCCCAGTCCCGATTGGGACTGCTGAGTTCCTACCATAGATACACTCTAGATCCTTTTCACCTGATATTAGTCACAAGCACTTTTGGCTCCTTTCATGGTATTTTCACTTGTGCTGGTACAAATAATGTCATGATGATTATGTGCTTATATTTGTTTCCTTCGACCAGATTCTTGGAGGTGGAATGAAAAAATAATCAACATTATTGAGTTGAAAATGGATGAAAAGCCAGCTATTTCTTATTGCCCCAAAACGTTGTCCTGATTTCCCGTGCATGCGTGCGACAGTATTTATCTGGTGATACTACTAGGAGACACACGTTTAAAGAAAGATTTGATGGAACCCAGTGTGTAGCTGGAGACAGGACAAGGACAGAAAGGTGTCCAAGGCAGGGTCATGGTGGACTGCACCCAAGGGCAGGGTGGTGGCCACGGTCAGAGATGGGCGGAGGCGGAGTAAGCGTAACACCTGTCAGCCCAGGTGGCCTTCTCAGTGGATCCCAGTTAGTGCAGTGCAAGTAAGCATGATTTTCCCAGGTGGAGAAGCGGGCTCTGGATTGGGTGTTTCATGGAAGAGGGAGAGGGCGGGGAAGAGCAGGAGGGGCGGGGTGGGGACTGGGTCCTGAGTTCATTATCATGCCTGGGAGAGTGGACCGACCTGTGCAGCCTCTGTGAACCCCGGAGGGGTGGGAGGGGGACCCTGCCCCTGGCAGGTGCAGACACCTGCTGTGAGGATGTTCCTGGGTGGACGGCTGCTTGGTGCAGAGGAAGAAATCGTTCACGGTCTGCTAGATTAACTGAGATATACATTTGCCCTTGACATCTCCTTCCAGCCGTGTGAGCTGGGGGCATGACATCGCCTCTCTTTGCCTCAGTTTCCTCTTCTGTGCCTTCCTCAGGGTTACTGAGGGATGAAGGAGCTGACAGAAGCACAGCTCTTGGAACCAAGTCTGCCGGGTTGGGAGCTGTGGAATGGTTGCTCTTGTCCCCATCGTCACCCTTGTCCTCCTCACTGACACCTAGCATTATATCTGGAACCAGTTTTCAGAATCTGCCTGGCCCACGGGGCAGCCACAGGCAGCTCTGTGGTCACCAGCCTCTCGCGGGCTCGGGCAGCACTTGAGTTGGTGTGAGCGAGTACCTGCGCACTCCTGGGCTGGGGGGAGCCCTGGGGGCCGTGGGAGAGGCTTTGCTGGGAACCGTTCCACCTTCCAGCTCTGAAAGGTGGCCTGGCTCAGCACACCACCCCCAGCGGGGCTTTCCTTAGGGAAAATGTCCCTCAGCCTCCCCTCAGTGTCCCAGCCTGCCATTCCTTCCTGACCTGTGTATTGTGCGAGTCCAGATTGGGGACGAGGGTCTGAGCGTTGCGAGTGACTGTGAACGGCGGACACTCAGAGGAGCAAAGACAGCAGGTCAGGGCTAGTTTTCTGTGGAAGGTTTTACCAAGTGATGTTATTGTTAAAATGCCTTTCAACTAAACAAGAACACATAAAAGCCAGATGAGCCCTTGTGTTACCATCGACAGTCACAGCGGCTTCCTGAAGCGTGCATGCACGGAAGAGCGATAGTGGAAGGAAGGAGAGCTGGGGTGAACGTGCCCCTCCTCTGTCACAGTCAACTCGGAGCGTGCCCACAACGAGCAGGGGGCAGCCCCTTACACCTGACACTTCCTTGGAGAATATCTCGGTGTGTTTTCAGATGACTGATGAGTCGCAGAAGCCACGAGCTGCACTTTCCCCTGGGTGTTTGGTGTCATGTAGGAAAAATGAGAGGATTTAGTTCAAAGTGAACACCAGTGTGGGTGGCTCTGTCAGTGAGCACAGTGAATTTGACCTTCACAGTTCACAGTCATTTGGCTTCTGTGTTTCCTGGTCTTTTGTTGTTAGAATATTTTGTTTAAGAGCTTATCTTTCTGGTGTTTAAGATCATCTTGAAATTCACAAGAGGAATAAAACTGATAATGCACAGCTTTAAAAGGCTCAAGTGGGGCACCTGGGAGCCGTAGGTTTGCCAAGCTCCTGAGGCAGTCCCTAACCTGAAGATAGAGAGTTAGCCCCACCGTCCCTGCTCAGGCGCTGTGGTCACGTCCGCTGTCCCTGCTCGGGGGCCCTGGTCATGTCCGCTGTCCCTGTTTGGGGACTGAGGGTATATGCTTTCTTGATGGGGTTTCTGCCAATCAGCAAGCTGAAAGCAGAAATCCATGGGGCGCCAAACCAGCTCAGGCCCAGGAAAGCATGTCCCGTGTCCTGGCCCAGGACCTCCGTGCCGAGTGAGGCTCACAACTGTCTCTCCCCTCCGCAGACTCGGCGTGCAGCAGTGCCCCAGGCTCCGCGCCCAGCTCGCCCAACAACAGCTCCGGGAACGTCAGCACGGAGAACGGGATCGCGCCCGCCGTCCCTAGCATCCCGGCCGAGGTCAGTGCCCAGCGCTCCTATTGGCTTGCGTTTTTCCGTGCCGGCCCCGAGGCCCAGTCAGAGATCTGAGTTGCTTCAGATGCCCACTTTGTACAACTGCCCTGCAATCTTGACCTTCCAGGTTGAGGTGGGGGAAACTGACGAAGGAGGCATCCTGGAAAGGACACTGTGAGAAGGTTCTGGAATCACTTGGAGGGAATGAGGTCAGACTCGAGAGGGAGAGGGGGGTGGCTTCTTCAGTAGCCTGGAGGCCCCGGGGCTGTCTGACGGTCGTGTCCTTGTGGAGACCTGGGTGGGGGCAACTTCCCAGGCAGTGGGTTCCAGGACCTTCACTCCATGGGTTCATTTCACTTCTTATTCACTGGGCTCCCTCCGTTTGTCCCACAAGGGTCTCTGGAGCCCCCACCTCGGGCCAGCCCCATGCCAGGCCCCAGGAATCGAGGGCCAGGCGGCCAGCCCAGGGCATGCTTCCACACAGCTTCCTGGGTGGCCTGGGAGGGGCAGGCACTGACCAGTAGGTGAGGAGGAGCAGAGAGTTCCACGCTGGCAGAGCGCGGCTCTGGGTAGGGTGGCTGCGTGGGGGAGCCGCCTCAGCAGTGGCTTTCCCGGTGAACTGAGCCAGAAGTGCCGTCTGCTTTGTGCTGCAGACAGCTCTGCTGAGTGGGGGGTTCTTCTGAGTTCTTTCGCAGTTCCTCCGAACTTCAGGAGGCTGTAATCAGATGCAGTTATTTAGTTTCCTCTGTAACTATTTAGAAGTGAGTCCTGCCCTTCCAGAGGGTCGGCAGATCTTCGTTGGGATACACAGGCACAAGTGCTTAGCTTTTTCATTTCAAATTTCTAGACACTTTATGTATAAACAGATTTTTAGAAACAAAGATGGCTACAGGAATGAATTTTGCATGACTGCCTCTAGTTTGCTTAACCTCAATTTTCTCTTCTTTTGCCTTCATACATCTATTTCTTTTACTACCTGTCCTTGTCAACAACCTACCTGTTTAAGAACTTACTAGATTATTAAAAGTTTTAACAATCCTTCTCTGTAAGATGAGGTCATAGCTGAGGTCTCCGTGTAACTAGCCTAAGAACTCAGCCTGAAAGTTGCTTCCTGGAACAAGATGTTCATGCTAGGTACATCTTGTCAATAGCAGTCATGGACCCTGATTTTTATTTAATATGGGCAGTTATGTACCTAATGGTTCCTATTGTAGGATGCCTTCTGTGGGTGGGTCTGTATGGTTCTGGTTTAAATTATGTGTTAATTTTGACAAATCGTGTGTTAATGTCAATTAAGCTACTGCAGATTTATAGACGATGTCAAAGGAGTCACAAGAAATGCACAAAGTGCAGGTGTTCCTGGTTTACATCAGATGTTCATTATCATCGGCAGGGCTGGGCTTTGAAAATTTGATCCCATGTGGATGTCTTTTGTGGATTTCAAGTTTTGTTAGAATTGGACAATTCCCTGAGAACTTCCGTGCTTCCTAAAGCCAAGGGCTGGCCGCTCCTTCTCCTCTGGTCCAGAGGTGGCATGGGGTCCTCGTGCGGGTGGGGAGGCACAGCGGGAGCAGGGTCCCCGGCCTGGCTCTGCCCCTCCTTTCACTGTTATACCTCGAAGGCCCCTGGACTGAGGGAGGCTCAGCATCCCCACCCTCCACCTCCTTTACACAGAGGAAGCAGGGCTCCCCGACCCGTAGACAAGAACTCCTCCTCGGTGGAGGCGCTCTGTCCAGTTCAGAAGCCCAGGGTGATCCGGAGGGCGGTGTGTCCGGCAGGCGCTCTGACCCCGGCCTGGACTTCCTGTGGAATAGCGGGAGGCTGACGAGCCCATCACAGGGCATATGGAGATGGCCAGCACCACAGATGTGGACAAATCCAAATGCAGATAATTCTCAGAAGGCTGCTTCATTTCTAAAGAGAAATTAGGTTAAAAAATAGCCTTGGTTATAGAGAGGAAGTTATAACTTTGTAAACATTGGAATGGTTGCCTATTTTGTTCCTGGATAATTATAAAACAGTGGAATCGTGCTTTCCTTGGCAATCTCAATCATTTTCTCTAAAGCATAGCTGTTGGTATTTCTTCTACTTGCAGTAAAAACATTTTTGTCTAGGACAAGCGCTTTCGCAGGAGCCCTTTACCATTGCTGTGCAGTTGAACATGTGAGCACACTAGAGCTGCCCGGAGCGATTTCCCTGGGACGAGCACGCTAAGTTCCTCCAGGGGCAGAAAGCCAGTCCTCCCTGTTTTCTTACAGTGTGAGGACAAGGTCTATAAGGTGTGTGTGTTTCCACATGACACCGAAATATGACACCATTAAACATGGCTCCTAGGGAGTTCTGCACGGTCCGGAATATCCACACTTGCACCCGGAGAGGGTCGTCGCTCTGTCCTCCCACAGCGGAGAGCTCGTTTTCTAGTGGGGACTGCAGACAGTCCACCATTGTTTACAACAACTTGTAATAACCCTCAGCTCGTAGGTTTTCTCCTTGGACGTGAAATTTTAAAGCACTCAAAATGTTTCTCATCCTTAATTACATAGTCCACTGTGAGAAGGACTAGAAAAAATCGATTATGTGTTCATTACTAACGTTATTTCCCATCATGCACACTTCTATCTGCCAACCCCCCTACTCGTCATGCAGAATCGCTCACTCATTCTCTTCGTGGTTTGCTCATTCGTTCAGCATACTTAGTGAGTGTCCATCATGTTGGTGATATAGTGAATAAAACTGTGTCCTTCTTAGCAAAGAATGTTCGTTCCGGAAGCAAAAAGATGTGAAACATCACAGTGATTCAGATCCTCAGAGACTGCTGCTGTCGCCCCTTTCTGTCTGTCCTAATAATCTCTACTGTTGACTTACGCTCGAACAGTCTACATCTGCTACGTAAAGAGTGGGCAGCTCTACAGCTTCTGTTTCTAACTTACCGACACACCGTGAATACATTTCTAAGCAATCAACGAGACTTTTCCTGACCTCCTGTTGGATAAGTGCCCTTCACCTCCGTGGACGTGGCTGCAGGGGGCACTCCTGTCGCCACGCCTTTTCGTGCATCCAGATTATTTCCTAAGAGTTCTTCCTGAGAGTGGAGTTTGAGGATCAAAGCTTAGATCAATTTTTAAGGCTTTTGACATGGATTGCCGAACTGTCCTGCAAAAAGAGTACTCCAATTTGTAATCCACCCAGCAGCAGTTTCTGTTTTTCTGGGCCAAGATGATGATATCAGTTTTTAAAAATCTTTGCCAACTTGATAGGTTTTTAAATATGTTTTTAGATTACTGATGATGCTGAGGTTTCTTTCACGAGTTTATTCTCCTTAAATATTTGTTCTCCTTTTGTCCTTCGTCTTTGCCATACACTTTTCTCCTTGTTAATTATTGTTTGATTTGTGAGCTCTTTATATATTAACTGTTGCCTACCCTAGATGTCAATATTGTTGTCACCATTATTTGCCTTTTACAGGGATTTGCCTTTAGGGGATTTTTTAATCAATATTTTCCCGTTGATTCTGCTTCTGATGTCGTTTGGAAAGACTTTTCCAACTCTAAGAATATATTTTTAAGTTATTTTAACTTATAAATATATAAGAATATATTTTTAAGTTAAATTATCCTAGATTTTCTTCTGATAGTTTTGTGATGCATAAGCAATTTGAATAAAAACAAGCAAGAGTTGGATGGATTGTGAAGCCATGCTTTAAGTGTCGTACTCGCGTGTATGTTTTGATTTGTTTGTGTGTTTTTGTGCTCCGGTATCTCAGAATTGGGCCTGGCCTGCCCTGGAGTGTTCTCTGTTGTCCTTTCTCTTGGTGTGTGTTGCCAGTGCTTGGCCGTAGTAGACTGTGTGACCGCCGTCATGTGTTCTGTCTCCAGACCAGCTTGGCGCACAGACTCGTGACGCGAGAAGGCTCCGTGGCACCGCTCCCCCTCTACACGTCACCCTCCTTGCCTAACATCACCCTGGGTCTTCCTGCCACCGGCCCTGCCACTGTAAGTAGGCGTCCTTGGGGCTGTGTGGTGTGGGGCGGCTGTCACCGGGCCATAACCCTGGATGTCACCTGTGTGCCTCTCCAGGGGGCGGCAGGCCAGCAGGAAGCCGAGAGGCTCACTCTCCCAGCCCTCCAACAGCGAATCTCCCTCTTTCCCGGCACCCACCTCACTCCCTACCTGAGCACGGCACCCCTGGAGCGAGACGGCGGGGCGGCTCACAACCCCCTTCTGCAGCACATGGTCCTGCTGGAGCAGCCGCCCGCACAGACGCCCCTCGTCACAGGTGAGCACCAGGCGGGTCTCGGGCGCGGGCTCTGGCAGTGGTGGGCCTTGTCGGCTCGGGGAGAAGGCAGGCAACGGAGCTGTTTCTACCCCAGGATTTCCGTGCACTGCTCGTCTCACATCAGGGGGAATGTTGGATAAACCAAGGCTCACTTGCAAAGCTAGGTGGAGGCAATAAAAATAGATGTCGGCTGTGCCGTCAGTTTAATTTCTCGAGAGGAGGTTGACGGCTCTTCTGATTTGCTTTTCCATCTGGATCAAGTTGAACATGTGATGGAAGCGCAGAATTGACTCTGGTAAATAGTTCCTATTAGCAGTAAAAATGTTTTTAAAATATGCCCCTATGTCTAAGGGGTGGTTATATTTAGAAAAAATTGGAAATTTGTTATGAAATTTGCATAGCAATAACGGTGTAAAAGCGTTACTTAAGGAATGACGGAATGTGGGGCGTTTGCCGTGAAACGAGAGCATGCCCTGCTGTGCGTTGTCGTCTCACATCTGTGCACCATCTGTTTGGCTTCCTGGAAATCTGTTTATTTGTTCGGAATTAAAATCTACAGTAACGTCAGGGTGGTCACCGAGTCCTGACCTATGGGCAGTGCGGGTCTGGTCGGTGGGTTGGGTTTGGTTTTCTGGTTTTGTGCTCATTTGCCTCTGGAGCACATGGTTCTGTGGAGTCACCAGGCTGGTCTGGGTGTGAGGGGCCGTGTCCTGCCACCGTGGGTGGCCATGTAGACGGCGAACTCCATTTTCCACTAGTGCCCCTTTGTGTCTGTGTGTCCTCGGTGTCCCCACATGGCTTGCGTTGGTGTCTCTGCCCTTTACAGGGTTGAGGGGTCTCCAGTGTACCTGGGGGAGCAGAAGCCCTCGCGGTGCGTTTCCCTGGCTTTCAGGAGACGGCTCGCGAGCATTTGGATCATGAGGGTGTATCTAAAATCGCATCCGAGCTGTTAGGCGCTCCAGATCGGGTGTCAGGAGTGCGAGTGGAGGAGGAATCTCCTCGTATCATTTCTTAAAACGTCAGGTGGGTCTGGCCCTCTTTGTGATTTCTGGGACCCTTGCTCATTTCACTTCATCAGAGAGGAGTCTGTTTATCACTCGCCTCGTCTCCTCGAAATCACTTTATTGTCCACGGTTAAATAGCATTCTTAATCTCACGTGTCTCAGGTTCTTAGAAAATAGCCCTTTCTTCTCGGGCTTTGGTAACAGTTTTGCACAAATCTCACCTCTCCAGTAAATGTGTTGAGCTCGGCCTCTGGTGGGGTTGATGAGGTTGCTTCTTCTGCCCTTTGTGTGTGGTCTGGCAACCCTTTTTGTTACGACGGCTGCCGACAGCTTGCCTCTTGGCACTGAGACTCACTGGTGGGTGAGTTCTCAGGCCCTTTGGCATCAGGTCCCCTAGCCCGTTCCGTCCTGCCTCTGCCCTCTTTACCTGGCAGGCTCGCCTCTGTGCTGCTGTGTGCCACCGCACCATGGCTGCCTGCCCACCCACCCCCAAATCCACGGGCCCTTTCTCTCCTGCACGGCCTCTCCAGTGGCTTTCTCGTCATCCCGGGCACCCCAACTGCAGGCAACAGCACAGTCTCCTTCATCCCCAGCTCTGTGGCCTTAGGGAGTCTCCCATTCACCTTGTGCCTCAGTTTCCCCTTCTTTAAAGTGGAGATAATATGAGTATCTGCCTCGTTGAGTTTTTGAGGGTTAGATGAGTTGTGCGTGTTAATGCAGGGTGACACCTGACACCGGTGAGCCGTCTTTAGATGTTGGCTGTTACAGTTGTGGTAGTTACTTTTGGTGTTCTAATTGTTATCCTTCAACCTCACTCTCTCCCTTGCTTTCGCCAGCCAGGCCCTGTCCTTCCCAGGGTCTCGGGGGCCCTTCCCCGCTCCCTCCCTGGGATCATGTCCTTGCCTCCAGTCTCTGAGGATCACCCTACACCCTTGTGGGAAGTCGCCTCGTGACCGGGTGGCTGCCTCTGATCCTGTCCTCCAGCTCCACCAGCCTCTCAAGGCCTGGCAGGCCCTCCCCCTGTCCAGAGCCGTGCCCTGCAGTGCAGGAGCACCAGTCACATGTGACCATGAACATTTAAGTGGAAAGTTAAAACCAAACTAAAATTCGGTGTCTCAGTCACAGGTGCCGTGTAGCAAACGCTCGTGTGGCTACTGGCTACCGACACTGCGAACCTGGAGCGTTCCATCAGCACGAAAGTTCCATGGGCCGGCGCCGGCCTGGAGTAACATCCCAGCTCTTTCCGTAGGAGCAGGCCTACTCTGGGCCTCTCCCTCCCCTCCCCTGTGCAGCACCCACACATGTTGGTTTCCTTCTCCCTGACTGGGCCGCTGAAGGTGGCTTCTGGAAGCCACTGTCCCTCTCTGAAAGCCCCTCTCCTCCCTCAGGCCCCGCTCCCGCAGGCGCGGCCCTCCTCGCTGTGCTCTGCCCGCATCCGGTGCAGTTCTGTCTGCCTCGGCACAGCTTCTGCTGACCCTTCCGTCCCTCCTGCCTGACCCCCTCCCTCCTGGAGAACAGACTGCATTTTCCTACAATTTTGCGATGGCCCTTCCTCTCCCAGCACCCACACGGTGTTTGACGCATGATAGGTACACAGTAAATCTCTCTGGGATGGAACCGAGGGAAAGTCAGGTTGCCGAGAAGCTCGTGTCTGTGCAGGACCAGGAAGAATCACCGTGGGTTTGCCTGTGTCTGTTTGAATTTCTGCAAGGGGTCGGCCCACAGACCTCCCTTCTTGCTGATAGTCACAGTGGATGGACGGATGGAATGTCAGAGCTAGAACAACTCCGTTTCACAAATGTCTTGGAAACAGAGGCCCTGTGGGGGGAGTGTCTGGCCCGGGTCCCAGGGGAGCAAAGGTGCAGGGTCTCGGTGCTGCGTCCCCTCTCCCCTCAGGTGCATGTGATGCCCCGCCTCCGTGTGGCTCATGGGGTCTTGACATTAGCTGCCCACATGACGCACCAGCAGACAGTAATCGTTTACTTGAATCTTCTCCTGAAAAGAGCAGAGTTTCCTGATACAGTCCCCGAGATTGAGTCTCTGAGTGACTAGCCAAGGCAGGGAGTGGGGATTGAGTGACCATTTCAAGGCAAGACACAAACTGCGTTTGGCCAATGAACAGAACTGTCAAACCAGCGTCTCCCATACACCAGGTTTCGGGGAGACGGGCCCCCCAAGAGCTTTTTAGTCAGGGCATGTGGAGGAGAAGGCTGGGGCTAGGGCCGTGCAGCAGGGTGAGTGTCAGGGAAGGCTTCCTAGAGGTGGCGTCGTCACTGAGACCTTAGGTAGCAGTCGACAGGTGATAGGTGGAGAAAGGCCAAGTATAGGGAGGGGGTGTTGTACCTGGTGGATGGGACTGTGTCACCCATGATTCTAGCCTTCTGGCCACTCGTTGGGATGTGGCGTGCCAGTGTGGTTAAGGGGAGCTGACAGGCAGCTGCTGCCCCGTTGTCACAGTTCTGAGTGTGGGTTGCTGCTGTTTTCTGTAGCAGTGATTACATACTCCCTTTTAGTCCTGATAGCGCCCGAAAATGGCGTGACTGCTATCCTCAGCTCTGGCCAGTGCCCCCCCTACCCCAAGGCTCCAGCAGAAACTGACGGGTCCAGATGGGACCCTACTGCCCAGGGTTTTCTTAAAGCGTCCAGGTTATGCTAATGTGCAGCAGGATTGCAAACCACCAGTTAGACCTGACTCTTGCCTTGTCTGTTCTCATTTGAAGGGTTTTGAAAACTTGAGCCATTGTATGCAGGGCAACGGAATACACCCAATGGATTTTTAAGGACACAGGCAGCATAAGTCACTCATTTGTGTAAATTCATCTATGTAAACAGAGTCCCACCATGCAAAGGCCAGCGCTTCAGAGCTGAGTCCCGAATGCCGGAGCAATCTGACTTTTCCTCTTCTATAGTTCTCTAACCCCCATATCTGATGTGGTGTGCCTCTGTTTGCAAACTCACTAATTAGTGCTAAGTGTTTTACACCCTGGCTGACTGAGTAAATGCCAGGGTGCTCACTTAAGAAGGGTCATTTTTATCATGCATGTTCTAGTGTGGACCTCCAGGGAAGCTGGCCCAGCCCCAGTCCCACTGGGAGGAGCAAGGGTGTAACACAGGGACTCCTCTCTCAGCTCCAACACCAGGGTGGGGTGTTGTCGGTACACCGGGCCCTGGGGGGACTTCTGCTGCTGCTGTGGGTGGGAAGAACGGAAGCCTTGGGGGAGCCTCCCAGCCAGCCCTGGTGCTCAGTGAAGGAGGCCCCAGGCGGCCAGGCCTCCCTGCCCGGAGAGGGTCCCCAGGTCTGCCGTGCTGCGGAGTCTGGCTCTGTCCCTGTACCTCACCAGCTCTGGCCCAGCAGCCGGGTCACCTAGGACAGGATTCGATCTGAATACACGGTGGTTTTATGCTTGAAAGTCTTTTATAGTCCATACTGAAAACCACACAGAGGTGTGTCATCAGAACTGTTGTTCATGATTTGAGGGATCATCTTATCTTCCAAATCGGAAACCACCTGGCCACTAATGGGTTTGCTACTCAAAGGTCAGGATGTTCAGTTTTGTATGATGCCGATCGGTAGATTTGTCCCTGGGTGTGGTAGCCCCGGAGTCTTACACCCCGGGAGGCACTAGAGTGAAATTGGGGGTGGGTGGGATGAGGCTGAGAGAAGGTGAGGGCGGGAGACAGAGTAGAACGGGGTCCAGCTGAAGGGCCTCCCCCCAGGCAGCTCCGTGTCAGGCAGGAGTACTTGCCGGAGTCAGGGTCTGAGAGTCAGGCCTTTCCCGTCTGCCGCGTCCCCGCGGGAACACCAGCCCGTGTCCTCAGGGAGGTCCACCCAGTGCAGGCAGTGTCTCTGCTCACCGAGGGTGGCTGGGAACCTCAGAAGCGGGGGAGGAAAGCTCTTGGAGAGCCGCACGACAGCCTGCAGAAGCCAAAGCACAGCCACCTGGCCCATTTGAGTGCCTTGTTCCTTATTCTCTGTCAAACCTGCAAGCCGAATCTCTGGGATTAGTCTTTCCTTCTAGAACTGAGAGAAGCCTCTGTGCGGATACGAGGCAGGGCCAGCCTGGCTGACCCAGCATGGGCTCTGTAGCTTTGTCCCTTACTTTGCCTCCATTCTTGGGTGTCCACTAAGGCTTAAGAAAACAACAACTAAGGGGGCCAGCCCAGGGGCGTAGAGGTTAAATTCGCACTCTCTGCTTTGGCAGCCCAGAGTTCACAGGTTTGGATCCCAGGTGTGGACCTACACACTGCTCATCAAGCCGTGATGTGGCAGCGTCCCATATACAAAGTAGAGGAAGATTGGCACAGATGATAGCTCAGGGCTGATCTTCCTCACCAAAAAAGCAAACAAAAAACTAAGGAAAATGTATTTTAGCTTCTTGTTTTCTGAAAAGGGACCTTTTTGGTAACTAGATAACCTTTAATCCTGTAAATGCAGCTTTGTGTGGCCAACTTCCTTAAATCCTCCGTGAAATAGTTGAATCCCCCGTAATTCCTAGATCAACAGTTGATAAATTCTGAAATACCTTCTGTACGATGATGTCTTTCTTTTTTTTAACTTTTCTAGAAAACTTGAGGGAATGATTTTACCTTTTGAATTATTCACTTTAGTAGCCAAGCAGATAATAAAATGTAAGATAACTTGTCTTTCCAGAAAACAATGGGGTTGGATGAAAAGTGATGGTGGTTTAAGGGACTCTAGTTGACTAACTTTGAAAAAGTGGTGAGGGCCAATTTTACTAGGGTTGGATCTCTTTTTCCTGTGTGTGCGCTCTTTCTATTTGTATACAAAATAGGCTTTTAAAGTTAGAAATAGCCCCCAGGAAGGGACAAGAAAAACATTGAGTGCACTGCCCACCATGGGTCTTAGGCTCAACTAAATCTGATGACACAGCCCCACTGGCTTTGGAGTCCCTGGGGACAGAGAGGGCGGGAGCCACCCTTTGTCAGCAGGGCCACTTCGGGCAGGTGTGAGCACGTGTGCCATTCCAGGAATCGTGCACTCTGGGCAGCTGAATGCTGGTTTGGGCAGTTCATTTGCCATTTCTTCCAGTCAGACACCCTTGACCCCGGGGTCGTTTTCATCCTGAGCAGTGTTGTTTAGAGTGTGTCCACCTCGGGTTGCCAGGGGAACAGACACTCAGCAGGGGAAGTGGTTTGTTAGACCCTTTGCTGATAGAACCATGGAAAATGGTAAACTACCTAAACCAACGATTTGTAAAAGAAAACATACAGATGGATGAAAAGCATACAGAAGGAAAAATGTTTAGCTTCCTGAGTTCACATGAAGAGCTTGGATTTTAAAACAAGATTCACATGCGGATTAAAACAAAATCGCCTCCTATCAACACAGCCTCTTAATTAAACACTCAGTCTAGTACAGGTGTGGCAAAGCAGCCGTTTTCCTGGTGGCATGTAAGTTGGCAAAACCTTTGTAGAAATTTGTAGAAAGAGACTTTGACAGTATGTGTCAGGACTTCTTAAAGTGTTAATGCCCTCTTTGTGCATAACATCAACACTTTAAGAGACTCTTAAAATGATTTGATCCCTAAGGACCATTTTTTTCCCTTAAACTTAGTTTCTGTGTCAGTTTGGAAAGAGCCCTATCTGTGGTCTTCCGGAACACATTGGAGGCCACCAGAACCATCACAGCCTTCCTCAGCAGGATGTGTGCCTCTCTTGTCACCCACAGTGCTGTCCAAATCAAAATGAACCTTTCTAGGGCCTGGGCCCCTCTGAGGGGCAGTTGTGCTAGGGCCACTCTCGGGCAGGGCGACTTTGCTCTGAAGCCCGTCACACAGGACGCCCGTTTACGCCATCAACCTGGGTGTCCACAGACATTTACCTCCAAATGACGGTCTCTGTTCACTGAAGCCCGAGCTCAGGGCACGCGGCATGTGCCGGAGTCAGGCCTCGGTGGGCTTCAGGGAGGAGGCGCCCGGGCTGGCAGCTGCAGTTCCCAGTGGCCTCCATCAGTTACTCAACAGCCCTCTCTCCCTCCTCTCTTCTTCCTCTTCCCCTCTGCTGTTTTTTCCTCCATATTATCTTCAGACTGGTATCTTTCAGGCCTGGGAGCGCTGCCCCTGCACGCACAGTCTCTGGTGGGTACGGACCGGGTGTCCCCCTCCATCCACAAGCTGCGGCAGCACCGCCCACTGGGGCGCACCCAGTCGGCCCCGCTGCCCCAGAACGCGCAGGCCCTGCAGCACCTGGTCATCCAGCAGCAGCACCAGCAGTTCCTGGAGAAGCACAAGCAGCAGTTCCAGCAGCAGCAGCTGCATATGAACAAGGTGGGTCTGCCGGCGCGGCCCGCGCGAGTGGTGTCGTCTTTGCAGCTTCACTGTCCAGCAGCGGCCCCTGTCTGACCTCGAGAGAGGCCAGGAGACGTAAGAGGGACAGTGGGCGCAGTCTTCAGCACACGGGGCAGGGGCTGGGCGTTTGTGTGGGGCTAGATCTCAGAAGCGCTTGCTCTCCACAGGGTGGCCGGCATGGCGTTGGGCCCTGCGTGCCCGTCAGCAGGAGTAAGTGCAGTTGGACAGGCTGTGCACGTGGAGCCTTTGTGTCACTGCGTGGTGTATCCTACGTGGCCGACACTTCTTTCTTGAGTTTCTTAAGGACATTTATCTTCTCTAAGCAAACCCACAAAAGAAGGTCCGCAGCCTTACAATGGCCTGGAGACCCAGAAACACATTTTCCTTGGCACTTGCGATGTGCTTGCCCATTGGAATACTATCGTCAGAAAGGGTTTTACGCCCAGGCCAGCCCACAGAGGTCTACGTACCTGCAGAGTCTTACAAGTCACTCACAAGGCCCATTTTCAGCAGGAAGTAGTGGGGAAGGTTAGTGTTGCTATGCTGGTTGTTAAAATATGAAAACAACTATTCTGAGTAACTTTTTTCAAATGCTGACATTTGAAATAAAGCATCTTTAATATTAGAGAATGAGATGAGCCACTTAGGAAAATAGTCCAGCAGTTCCTCAGAAGGTTAAACACAGGGTTACCATATACCCTGGCAGGTCACTCCTAGGTATGTGCCCAAGAGAAATGAGAACACACAGCTGTTTGTGCAGGATGGTACAAGGCCTGGTACATGAATGTTCACAGCAGCATGATTCATGATAGCCAGGCAGTGGAAACAACCTCAGTGCCCATCAGCTGGGGTATGGTTAAACAGAATGTGGCACATCCACGCAATGGAATATTATGTAGCCATAAAAAGGAATGAAGTACTGATACACACTACAGTGTGGACAAACCTTGAAAACATGATGCTGAATGAAAGAAGCCAGACACAAAGACCACGTACTGTGTGATTCCATTTATATGAGATGTCCAGAATAGGCAAATCCATAGAGACAGAAGGTAGATTGGTGGTTGCCTGGGGCTGGGGGAGGGGTCATGGGGAGTGACTGCCAATGATAGCACAACGTTTCTTTTTGAGATGATGATGAAAATGTTCTAAAATTAGATTATGGTGATGGTTGCCCAACTCTAATTATACCAAAAACTACTGAATTATACCATTTAAAAGTGTGAATTTTATGGTATGTGACATATCACAATAAAGCTATTAAAATCAGAGGATGAGATGATAGAAGTCAGCTTTGGTGATTTTCTGAAAGACACTTTGAGAACTTTGGTGGTCTGGGGATGGCTAGACTTGCTTCTCGATGCATCTTTGCCGTGAAAGCTCACCCGTTGCTTCCCCTCTTTCAGGTGGACTGGGTCATCAGTCCTCATGTGCCAGACGTGCTTGGGCTCTTCTGTCTGCTTCTCTGAGGAAAGAAAGGGTAGAGGGGAAAGGATTAGGGGTGAGGGAGATTATTTGGCATAAGTGGAGGAGACTTTAGAAGAATCATGTATCTAGAGTCCCATGCCAGTGTGGAGATGAAATGGTGGAGGGGGAGCCCACCCTGTCAGGGTGAGTTGCTGCGTGCAGCCAGCCCTGACCAGTGGCACTGGCAGCTCCTCACCCTCGCCTGATTCACTTCGCTCCAGCCCTACAGTCCCAGCCCAGTCTAGGTGTTGGGTCAGAAGACTAATCTTTAAAGAAGGAGCATCTTCTCACTGTCACACTCCCAGCTCTCAGCTCTCTCACTCTCAGCCTGATTGTCACCTCTCGATGGGCCTCCAGCCCCCAATTAGAACTGCTCCCCAGCCCTGTCCTCTTATCTTACCCTCCTCTGTCCTCCAGTGAGGTGTCCACTCCTTGTGTCTTGTGTTCGTGTCTGGTTCCCCTGCTGGAACATCAGCCCCCGAGGATGGGGTCTTCCTGTTGTCCACTGGTGGACCCAAGTGTCTGGCATGGTGCCAGCCTATGGCAGATGTCCAGTGTGTTTTTGTCAGAGTGTTGCTTGTTGAAATGACAGCACATCTTCCCAGGGCTGCTCCACCACTGAGCCCGGCCCAGCCCCCCACAGTGGTCCACAGGCTTTGATTTCATGGCCATCCAGGACAGTGGGGCTGCTCGAGCAGCATCCCTCAGAGCTGGCAGCCACTGTCACCCAATCCACCCCAGTGCGTTCCCCATTACAGGGCTGAGGGGACGGGTCCTCAGGCGCCTGGCTCCTGAGTAGCCGGCTGCCCCAGACCAGATGCCCAGCGCAGGCCAAGCCCAGGCCCTTGCTGCCCATCAGGCATTAGGAAATAGGTCATCACCGCCACCCCAGAGCCCTCCTGGGCCCCACAGGCTCTCCTAGCCAGACAGCACAGGGCAGTGACAGAGATAGGAGGGGCCACTGAGTGCCGCCCCCATTTGGACAGGAAAGGCACTTGCTCACTGGGGACGAGACGGGAGCTGCCACATCTGTTCACTCCCAGGTGTCAAAGGCACTTCACATTCATCCTTCTAATGTAAACTTGGGCTTCTTAATTGTATTATGTCATTATCTGAGTGATGGGGTAGGAGGTTTTAGGAAGACAGGAAACACCTATTCATATGTGGTATATTCTTGAACAGAATGATTTAGAAACTGGGTAATCTCCCTGGGTGCTGTTCTATGATTGATTTACGGTAGCGAACGACAGTTGATTGAAATGTTTATACACCGCTCTCCTGGGATGCTCAGGAGCGACGATCGTGTCTGGTCCCGTCTAGCACCGGTGCTTCTGCCCTTCATCTTGGAGGATGGCGTTCTTCACGGGCTCCTTACCTGACGGCACTGGAGCCCGGCTCCTGGCAGCTCTCCCTCCTGCAGCCCTGGCCTGTGTGCCTGGGGATTGCAGCCATTTCCTGCCTGATCTGCTGCTCGTCCAGCCTCGACCTTGGGGTGCAGCTGCTTCAGCGATGTTCCCCTTAGAGAGACCAGGCGTTCCCTGTTGCTGCATCCCCCTCAGCCCTCCATGACCACCGCAGTTTCCCCGAGGTCCACGGCCAAGAGACGGCCGCGTTTGGCTGAGGAAACTGCGAAGCGGAGATGATGAACCCAGGAGCTGGCCCTGCTCACCTCCGGCCCATGATCGGAGTGATCACCGCGGCTTTCTTTTTTTTTTTAAAGATTTTATTTATTTATTTTTCCCCCAAAGCCCCAGTACATAGTTGTCTGTCATAGCTGCACATCCTTCTAGTTGCTGTATGTGGGACGCGGCCTCAGCATGGCTGGAGGAGTGGTGCCTCGGTGCGCACCCGGGATCCGAACCCGGGCCGCCGGCAGCGGAGCGCACGCACTTAACCGCTAAGCCACGGGGCCGGCCCTTCACCGCGGCTTTCCACCTGTGTTAGCGTCTGTGTCAGGGCCCAGCACCTTGCATACAGAAGTGTTTAATAAAGGTTTGCTGGGTGAAGGAACTTTCTGGAGAATGCATGCCATCAAAGGGCTAGTGGAGCTTTAAACTTTGGGAGTGAAATCACCCCTTTGTGTTTGCCTGCGCATGACCTCAGGTGTGGTGCAGTCTGTGTAAAGTGGAAACGTGTCAGAGGCAGGAACGGGTTTTTCTTTCTGTTAAGAAGCGAGTGTTTGAAAGCACCGCTCCGGTGGGAGTGAGGAGGCGTTCCTGCTGAAGGCGGTTCTTGCAGGGTTCCTGAACATCACATGATGGCTGGACCTATGGTGCTGGCGGTTGATGCATCCCTCGGAGGTGGACGTGTTTCCCTTTAGCTCAACGTTCTTAATTTTTTTTTGTGAGAAAGATTTGCTCTGATCCGTGCCCGTCTTCCTCTATTGTATGTATGGGATGCCGCCACAGCATGACTTGATGAGCAGTGTGCATAGGTCCGCACCCAGGACCTGAACCTGCAACCCCGGGCTGCCGAAGTGGAACGCACGACCTTAACCACTATGCCACCAGGCCAGCCCCTCAACATTCTCAATGTTGAGGAGGAGAACTTGGACTCATTTATTTGGGTGGTGTAATTAATATTGGCATGTTTACCAGTTAGATTTTGGCCCTGAACGCTGGTCTGACTTTTAGAAAATGTACTGTTCTGAATATGGAGTTGCATTCATTCTCGTTTAATTGATAAAGGGGACTCCTAGGGCCAGAAGGCCATTGGAAGACAAAGAGCTGATCTGTTTGTCCAGTTTGCTGCTGTTTCACTGCCAGCATCTCCACTGTCGTGTCGCCTGTGGGAGCATCACCTCCCGAGGTAGCTATGCTGTGTGGTCCGGCCCTCAGCCCCACTGGTGGAGAGCAGGGCTGCATCTCAAGGCAGAGAGGCCAAGGGGGCTGGCTCCGTGAGCACCTGCGTCACTGCTGAGCCAAGACCCCTGGTGGCCGTGTGCCGGATGGAGCCTGCTCTGCATCACAGGGAGGCCACTGACGCAAGCTACCTGCCACTGCCGTGGTGACATCCCACCCAGGCATCCTCTATACTGAGGCCCCCCCGGGGGAGCCTCTCTGTGTCTCGGGTTGTGACATGAGCTACAGGGAGCTGGCGGCAGCTCGGGTCCCTGCCCCCACCCAGAGTGCCTCAGGACAGCGGGGTCTGCATGGTCCGGGCCTCCGGGAGTCCTTCACCAGAGCCAGGCTGTCTCTCATGGAAGCCCAGAATGTCCTAACTCCTCTGGAGGGGGCCTGGAGGCCTCTGCTCAGATGCCCTCATTTTCCAAGGAAGCTGAGAAGGTGCTAGAAGAAGCACTGGGGCCTTCACCCCGTGAGCAGGCTGTTCCACGTTCCCACTCTGCTGTGTCGCTCTGACCGTCATCAGCCTCCCCGGGCAGGCTGGGCCCTTGCCATCTTCCAGTTCCTCCCTCCTTCCTCCCCGCCTTTTTTTTTTGTGAGGAAGATTGGCCATGAGCTAACATCTGCCAATCCTCCTCATTTTGCTGAGGAAGACTGGCCCTGAGCTAA